TGAAAGCTTTTGTTAGTATGCAGTAAAGATAAGACAAACGAAAGCTTGAAAAAACATTTAGAAAAAAAGAAAGAGTTAGTGCTTAATTATAAATATTAAATGTTTTTCAAAAGAAAAGATTTCCTTATCATCATATATTAATTGTGAATGTAGATTAAATAGATAAGAGCAGTTGGTGCAACTAATGCAAATTGCCCAAATTTAGACGAGAGCCATGTTGTTACAGCACCTGAATTGCTTGTTGTTGTCGTCGCTGATGTTGTTGCTGTTGTTGTTGTTGTTGTTGATAGTGTTGTTGTTGTCATCGTTGTTGCTGATGCTGTTGTTCTCGCTGTTGGTGTTGTTGTCGTTGCTGTTGTTGTTGTTGTTGTCGTTGCTGTTGTTTTCATTATTGCTGTTGTTGATAGTGTTGTTGTTGCCATCGTTGTTGCTGATGCTGTTGTTCTCGCCGTTGTTGTCGTTGCTGTTGTTTTCATTGTTTCTGTTGTTGTCGTTATTGTTACTGTTGTTGTTTTCATTGGTGTTATTGTCGTTTTTGCTGTTGTCATAGCTGTTGTTGTCGTCAGACCTAAAAATAAAGTGAAAAGTGAAAAGTGAAGAAATCTTGAGAGTGTCAGTACGGGTGCTAGCCGAATACATTATCAACACTCACGTCCTCAGTTTATTTAGTAGTATTATGTGTCTCTCGACATTTTGAAAAGAAAGACCATTGTGTAAGTCTAACAGTGTCGAAGAGAATCTAATCAAATTCTCTGATCGATATGCATAGCAATGTTTTGCTTTCATATGACACTTAAAAATTCGAAACAAAATCTGATCAGTGAAAAGAGAGAGAAACTTTTAAATGATTAGATTTAACTGAGAATCTTTTTCGCAATCAATCAAATAAAACATAATATTGTTCACATTGATCAGATAGTTTCTATGTAACATATAAGAAGTTCTGTTTTGTTCTTTGGATAATAGTCAAAATCTTTGATGATTTGTCTGATCTAATAGCTATCTTTACATTTTGAGATATGAGAATGTTTAAAAGAAGAATACCTATAGTCAATTGAAACTTCATATTTTAAATGAATTTATTAGTTTTATATTAAAATTCTTAGATTGATCAGTTATTTCATTTACACAATTTTATTGTTTTTTAGATCAAAGAAGCTTCATGTACGATATTTTCTTTTATTTCGAACCTCAGTTTCTTCTAACGAAAACTATGCAGCTTTCCATTTTCAACATTCACATCTCATCATCTCATTCAATCATTCTAAACTTACCACATGATTCTTTCAAGTATTGAAATTTTTGAATTCGCTTATTTCCTGCATCAATAACAAACATGTTTCCAGAACGATCAAAACTAAAACTAAATGGATTATTCAATTGATTGGATTGTGAACCTTCTCCATAACATCCAACTAAACATCGAAAACCATTCAAACCTGAGCCAACGATACGATCATTGCCATAGTCCACAATGAATAAATATTTCTCAGCATCCAATATGATTCCACTTGGGCAACTAAGTGTAATTGTTGGATTGAGTGATGTACTTCCAGCTACTGTAATGCCATTTGATTCTCCTGACTGGAACAACTGGATTCGATCATTTCCACAATCAGCCACATATAAATCCAAATTCACATCGACAAAGATTCCAAGAGGATGAGAAAGCTCATCCGAGTCTGATCCTACAATACCTGTTCCAGCAGCAACACGATTTGAAGCCATCACAGAATCATTTAGTGACCTCTTCACTACTTGATAACGACCAGCCATTGAACAGTAAAGAGTATTTTTGATATCGATAAACAAACCATGACATGATGAATTCACATTCATCACTGTGACAAAGGTATTTGTTTCTGCACTCCATTTCTGCACTCGGCCATTATGATCACCATCATCAATATAAATATCACCATTTGATGTCACGAAGAGAGACAAGGATTCTGCAAAATTACCGTGAATAACCATTGTCGGATCGATATTCTCTTCTTGCCATATTAGAATTGTGTTATTGTCTCCATTAGCGACATAGATTGTGTTGTTTGTGTTCACAAAAATAGCACGAGGATCTTCACTAATAATTGATTGATTAGCAAACGTAATTCCATTGGAATTCCAAGTAGCTGTTGGACAAAACTTTGGTTGATTGAATGAAAGAGCTAAAAACGAGAAAAGTAGAATATTAGAGAAGAACTGGAAAGGAAACGAAATTATTGACTTCTATATTCGTTGAAGAAAAATATAGTTTTTTCAAAGAAATTTTTGATGAAAAAGACATTTAGAAATGTTTGTTAACATTGATTTTGGGAACGATTTTTATTAATTTTGACATGAAATAAGAATTGTAATGTTGTTAAAAGTTCTTCGTTTAACTTTTGTTGAAAGATTTTATGAAAAATCTGAATAAATTGTATAAAAGACGATGATCAAATAAAGGAATTTATTTATTTCAATGCTGAGCATCTTATATGCTCTTCTCAAGTGACTTTTAATTTAAAAACTGATGATTTTTAGAGATAATTCTGCCGATATGTCATTGCAGATCTTTCGCTGAAAAATTTATTCAAAGTTTCTAAAATTGTCTTTTGATAGAGATTTAAAGTTAAGTCAGAGAAAAACCATAAATACCACTATGGTTATCTTAGTTGTCTATATTATTGGAAATATAACTAGATTTACCTTATAGAATTTCATTAGGAAATATAAAATAATGTCACTACATGTCACATCGATACTGAATGAGAAAGGAAAGAAAAAATACGATTTTTTATGATCTGCAAAAAACTTCTTATCTCCCTACAAACACTTTTTATACAAATTGTCGCACGAAGAGTTTTACCTCATGAAATTTCAAAGGTTTATCAAATATCACATATAGCCTCGTCTTTAGTCAATCTAAATAAAACAAATCTTTTTTGTAATCTTAATAATATTTTACAGATTTCAATGTTTCTCCTATGAAATAAAGAACAAAATCAGGAACGCTTATTTTCATGTGAAAAAAATAAACAATTCTCTTAAAAGGAAAACAATCATTGACTGCACGTCTTCAAGAAAAAGTCAAATAAATATTTGTACAACTAACAAATCTTTTATCAATTAGAAAAATTTTCATTTAAGAACAGTCTAGAATAGATTTTATTTATTTTATCAAACAAACAATATTTTTCTTTTATAGGAAATATTCTGTGTTTAGGACTATAGGAATAATAACATATATCACATTATAGATTGTCTTCAACTGTTCAGTATTACTCTTTGCAAATAAATATTATGATAACTATTGAAAGAACAAATCATTAATCAAAGATTTCCTTATGAGAAAAGTCATTTTTTATAATATCTTATACTAAAATTTATCTCCCTCAAAGAGAAACAATGACTAAATTCATTTTTTACATAAAAAAATGAAAAACTAGAATTGTCACATGTTATTTGTCCTATTTTTCTTGAATAAAACATATCGAAATATGAAGTTAAATCGTAGAATAATCTATATTAAAATTAGATCGACAAAAATATTAAGAGATTTTATTTTGACCAAAATTGTTTCATTGATGAAATGTTCTTTAAGACATATGAAATAAAACATGAAAACCCTTTCTAACACTCCATTACGGACAGAATTTGTTCGTTCTTTGTTCTATAATCTCAACAAAAAGGCGAAGATTGTTTGTGTCAGACAACTGATACATTGCTCTGCCTAATCTGAACATTTCATTTCCCTAGATATATTCTTTTACACATTGGCTAAATTAATCTTTGTCAATCATTTTTATTTTTTTTTCCTTTTTTTATATTGAAATATCTTTATTAGCTTTTGTTAGTTATCTATTCACATTTCTTCATTTCATTCAACTTTTCTTCCACTTACCAAAAGAATCTTTCATCAGTAAAATTTTTTGAATTCGATGATTTAATTGATCGGTAACAAACATGTTTCCATAACTGTCGAAACTAAAACTAAATGGACTATTTAATTGATTGGATTGTGAACCCTCTCCATAACATCCAACTAAACATCGAAAACCATTCAAACCTGAGCCAACAATACGATCATTGCCAGAATCCACAATGAATAAATATTTCTCAGCATCTAATATAACTCCACTTGGCCAACTAAGTGTAATTGTTGGATTGAGTGATGTACTTCCAGCTACTGTGATGCCATTTGATTCTCCTGACTGAAACAACTGAACGCGATTATTTTGATAATCAGCCACATATAAATCCAAATTCACATCGACAAAGATTCCAAGAGGATTATTGAGTTGATTCGAGGCTGATCCAAAAGTACCTGTTCCAGCAGCAACACGATTTGAAGTCGTCGGAGGATCATTTAATGACCTTTTCACTACTTGATGATGATTAGCCATTGAACAGTAAAGAGTATCATTAATATCAATAAACAAACCAAAACATGTTGAGTTGACATTCATCACTGTGGCGAAAGTATTTGTTTCTACACGCCATTTCTGCACTCGACCATTTTTAAATCCATCATCAATATAAATATCACCATTTGATGTCACGAAGAGAGACTGGGTTACTGTAAAATTACCGTGAATGATCTTTACAGGATTGACACTCTCTTCGTGCCACACTATAATTGTGCTATTTTCTTTATTAGCAACATAGATTGTGTTGTTTGTGTTCACAAAAATGACGCGAGGATCTTCACCAACAATCGATTGATTGGCTAAGGTAATTCCATTGGAATCCCAAATGGGTGTTGCAGAAAATTTTGGCTGATTGAATGAAAGAGCTACAAACAAGAAAAATAGAAAGAATATTAGAGAAGAACTGTGAACGAAATGAAATTGTTAATTTATGTTTTCTCTTAAAAAAATTCATTGAGATTAAGTTTGAAAAGATTTCTACGATTGTTATTCTATTTTCTCGGGTGATTTGTAAATATGAACTAAAGAGGCCTTAATTCATCGAAGGAGACCAACTTTATTTATTGACTTTTTGTTGCAAAAGAAAAATAATTGTGTCCGATTCTTGAAAAGATATGATTATCATTGAAGACAAAAAATAACCAAATAATTCTTTTTATTTGTTCAACTAAAACTCTAACGAATAATGTCATTTATGTGCAATAGTTGATCTTCAGTATGTGACAAATAAAGGTATTTACCTGATATTTCATTGTTAAGAATCAACAGAAGAATAGTGATAAATATGCAGATATTCCACATCATTCACCAAGAGTTTTTTTGATAAATTAGTTAAGTGATAAAATAATCTTCTCCTTCTTCTCCTAGTTTGCCTTCGATGAAAACAAAATGACACTTGTTGTAGATTTACTTTCTACTTATATGTCTCTCTTTCTCTTTTTCTCTTATTTATTTCTTCCAAAATAGCACATAGGGAAGAAATAATACTTTAGAAAAGGTTTCGTCGTAGATAAGACAAAGTATTGATCTCAAATTTGATTAATGAACAAAATTGACGATTTAATTTTATAGAAAAATCTTTGATTTTTAGTGGTGTTATTTGATCTTTATTTTACTTTATAATAAAGGATAAAGATAAGAAATAAAGTAGATTTTAGGTTTATAAAGTAAAGATAAAGACTTACTTTATCTTTATAAAATAAATATAAAGTTTTTCTTTATTTTCGAGAATAAAGATTTTTTTACTATCGAGACGTACGGTTTTACTTTTTTAGAGAAGCTAACAAAAAATTATGATATTTTATAGTTAATTATAATATGGCATATGAGAATGATGATAATGATAAGAAAGAGCATTAATAAATGTATTCTCTTGTTATACAAGGTATTTGCAGATGTACTTACTGCATGAAAAAATATATATTTATTCTTTATTTTAACTTTATTTCTGCAAATGGAGATTATTTTTATCTTTATTTTATAAATATAAAGATTTACTTTATCTTTGTCTATAAAGTAAAGATAAAGTAAGACCCGTAATCTTATCAATTCGGAGCAAAGCTTCTATTAAAACATAATCAAAATCGTGAAAATTGATTTTAAAAGTGTGGGTATAGATGAAAGATGACTATACTTTCCACATCTTTGCTCATGCGCGCATGGTCACCCTTTTTTTTGACAGAAAAGGATGAATCGAAAGCAACAGAATGATTTATTTCTGAGTAAGATTGAAAAAAAAAGTTAAAAGTATAATAAATATTGTTTATTTATCATTGAGCAGTACGAGAAGTGATTTCACAAGTATGTTCCCAAACTTTCTTTAACATTTCTTCATCTGATACTTCCTTATTTGGGACAGTTTCACCTTTCTCATCGATACATCTCCAACCTGTCTTTGTTCCTAATATGCCATGTATCATAAATTCCGCACACTCTTCAGGACTGACACCCCCACCAAGGGCGCTCCAAACTTTTGCAGGTAACCGAAGATAAAAAGGTAAACCATTACCTATAGGAGTTCTAACACCACCTGGATATGCATGTATAAAACTAACATTGACATTTTCTGATTGAGAAGCAAGATATTGAATGACAAGATCAGTATATGCCATACCATGATTAAAAGCTGCCATAAGCGAATAATTTTTTTCGAGTGCCATATCATCCCATTTGATTTTCGATACATTACCTCTTTTACTATTCATAACAAAAAGAACTTTACCACCATGTGAAGATGATCGAAGTAATGGTAGAAGTTCTTTGACAAATAAAACTCGACCATAATAAGCTACAGCCGCTTTATCATCGATATTCTCTTTGGTTGGTGTACGACCAGTGAAATTTAATATACCTTGAGATAAAATGAGTACGTCAACTGCATTCATTTCCTTAGTAATTCTTCGAATTTCAGACATCAGTGAAAGATCGGCACGTATAAAATTTCCATTCGGACCTAACTGAGATAGAATCTCATCGGCAGCAGATTGATTACGTCCAATAATTGTCACATGGGCGTCCGGACAATGTTTACGGTATGCAAGAGCAATTCCACGACCGATACCAGATGTACCACTACCTACGACGACATGTAGAGGTGATTGTAAAGAAGATAATATTTGTGTGTTCGAAGTAGCAACAGCATTCACATCAGACATGTTATGCGACGATTGAAAAATCTTTAATGAGTGTAAAAATATGAGAACATAGCGGTTACATAAGGTAGTAAAACGCACACGTTGATACTTCTTATACTTCATCGTACTTTTTGTATTTCTTCGTACATCCATTCCTCTAAATAAAACTTCGCAGTAAATGAATAATAAAAAATGTTACATAACAGCGAAATCTTGAACAAGTAACTATGAAATTACATCTGATCAACCCTTCAATATTCGAAAATGGTCTGCTTTTCTGCAACGCATGACATGTATAACGAGAACTATCGATGGTTCCGACTCGTTTTCAAAGAAAGTGGTGCGCTGAAACCTCACAAATCTGTCTCACTAGAAGAACTAAAATAATTACTCTTATAAAAATATGGATTTGAAAGTAGTTCATTTTTGAGCATTGAAGTGTTGACCAGATATAATTTCATAATATATATGCCAAAAACTGAGAAGCTCATTTATTCTGGTGCATCCGTTAATTCTATTGGAGGGTTCAAATTGTTCGTTCTTTTATTTGTTCTATTCATATAGACGCAATACAATTATCTTCTTGTTTCTTTTCGTCTGATTTTTGTCCTAGCTTTTTCCCCATTTTTCTTAACGAGTGCATATTTGATTCATTTTGAACAATTATCATGCCTGACTTTGGTGCATGTAGTGAGCCGACATGCAATCAAACGGCTGTCCGTTTATTCGATTGTGCACATCATTGTATGAAAATGGTTTGTCTACAACATTTGATTGAACATGATCGTTTATTTGAGCGCAATAAAAAATACTTAGAAGGTCATCAATTAGAACTTAAACGACTTTATTCTATTTATTCATCATTAGTTGATGAAAATAAAATTCGTTATGAATATGAACAAAAATTAGATGATTATAAAAGATTAGTTATTGAAGTTAATACTTTATTGGATCATAATTATAATGATGTTGAACAATTTCGATCAACTATTGAAAAATTAAAAAAAATGATCCATGAAAAACAAAAACAATCGGATGAATCATTAAGTAAGAATTTCCTTGATCTTTGCGAGTATTATTGTGCTGTTTGTTTTATCCTCTCTATTACTACTTGAATACTGAAAGAAGAAGAGAAAATGTATATGCTTTCTTATCATAATTAATTTTAAATCATGATATATTTTATTAGCTATCGTTAAAGTTGAACCAATTGAAGAAAATGCAGATTTAACAATGAATTCAGAAAGTACAGTTGTTTCTTGTGATACTTTTATATAAGAATTTATTATTAAAATCTTTTAGAAGATGAATCATTATATATAGGTTTTGATCGATTACAAAAGTACGTTTTTATCTATTTAGATTTTTTTTGTCTTAGTTTTTAATTTTTATTTTCATAGTTTAATTATAGATACTGATTATCATAAACGAAAAAGTAGTTTGATATTATTAAAAACAATATAATACGTATATTTTTAGGTAATGAAAATAAAATCATAAACGATGAAGCAGAAAAGTATTGTAGTTCTTGTAAAAAAGAAATAATATCTTTCATTATGTATATGTTCTAGTGAACCAATTATTGCTAATGATGATGATGATCATGATATCGTAAAAAGAATATACCTAAATTCTGATTTGTAAAATATTCTATGCCCTTTCTAGATTCCAACTGTACCAAGTCCTCGAATTGCCGGCGCATGTCCATTATGGGTGAATGGTGCTTATGGTCTTAATAAAAAATATCATTCGGTTCGTTTATGTCGAAGAAAAGATTACACAGATTTAAGTAATCATATACGTCAATATCATGGTTTATTAACACCATTTGCTAATATTATTTCACGAGCTGTTGATGCAAATATACCAGCTACAATATGTTTAATTAAAGATAATGTCCAAGTTGCTGATCCATATCGAAGTTTTCTTTGTCCATTTCGTGCTGAATGTTCAAATCAATATTGGTTGCCAGTTGCAGCACTTAAAAATCATCTTATTGATGTTCATCATATGGATCCACCAATGGCAGAAATGAAAATAAGAAAAATTAAAAAATTAAATAAAAATAAACCAATGCCAAAACTTGGAAATAGAATACGTGAAATTGTTAAATATATTGATTCAGTAACTGAAGATCAAAGAAAACATGTAGTAAGTTCAATTTATGAGTTGATATTTGTGAACAAGTTATTCGTTGCACTGATATAATCTAGTACTAGTTTATAGTAGTTAAGTTGAGTACTCACACCCTTAAGATAGTTTAAATTAAGTTAGATAAAGATTGAATTACTATAGATCTATAACCTGATTCTATATATATTTTTTGTTTTTTTTAGCATATCAAACAATAAAACGATCGATGATGTACAGATAAATGTTTTCTTAAATTTTTTTTTTGTGTTGTTTTGTTTTGTTCCGTTGTGTGTTCTTTGTTAAAGAACAAGAACATTAATATGAAATATTTCTTTTTAGATATGCCTTTTACAGGTTTATATATAACGTTTCTATATTTCGCTGCAGTATATAGGCGACATCTATGTTTGTTAACGAAACAATTGTTTTTCTTTTGTGAACAATTTTTATGAAAAACTACTTTCTTAATTCATTAATCCTTTTTTATATTACTGAAATAATTATATTTCAAAAGTTCTCTATCATTATTATTTTAAATATTGTCAATCACTGGTTTTCTAATGTACCATTAAAAATGCGAGATAAATCTATACTTGAGAAGAACAACATACGATCATTTTATTATTACATTCACATTATATTGGTCACTCCAGTTTCTATTATTTATCATATAAATCATGCGAGCTAAGGTATAATAGATTTTTATTTCAATAAAATTTATTAATCTATTTATTGTATTTTTTTTAGTGGCGTAAGAAACGAATGCGTCGATTGAAACGTAAACGTCGTCGTATGCGTGAACGCAGCAAATAGAACAAATCCATTCAACAAAGCATTCCAACTTCATTCAAACATTAAAAACATTTTATTTGTTGTTCTTGTTCTTATTGTTGTTATTGTTTTGTTTTAAACATAAAAAAAAAATAAATATCTCATTGTGTTTATGGATAATATAAATTATTCAGATCGTTTTTCTTTATTCTATTATTACATATTTAGATGGCTTCTTCTTCTTCAAATCAATCACAACAACAACAACCAATTAACTATTCAGCTGATGCTCCAACAACGACATCATCTAGTACAACGACTAAAAATTCAGTACAATTCGATGAGGATTTATTTCTTTTTTTACCTCGTCTTGGAGATATTCTCAAGAGGTACATTAAAAGCAAAATTAATTTTTCTATTGAATTTTGTTTTTTTTTTATTTAAGTTTCGATAAAAATCCTAATGAATTCAAAGCTAAATTAGATGAACTACGAAAACAATTTGAATCTTGTCAAGATATGATTTCACGAGTTGAAGGTATTGATACAACACTTGATGATCAACGTACTGAACTCGAAAGACTTGATAATGAATTAAAATCAAAAACTGAACTGCTTAAAAAACATATTCAAATGTGTAAATTTGATTTAAATATGCCTCCAAAAGCACAACAAATTCCATCTGAAAATGAAGATGATCTAGTACATCATTCATTACAAAATCCAACAAATGCAATGAATATTAATGATGATGATGACGACGATGACGATCTTTTTCATTCAGATGATAATACTAATTTACATCAAGAAACACATAATGAAAATCTTTCGTCTTTTTTTTCTTAATTGTCAGATATAAATATCAATAAATATATGTTTTATGTAAATAAAGAAAAATATTCTTTCGAATTTTTAGATTGTTTTTATTTTGTTTGTTTTTGAAAATATGGGTCGAACTGTTTTTATTGAAACAGATGTAGTTACTTCTCAATTAAATTCACTCTCAACAAGTCGATTTTCTTTTGGATTTCTTTGTGGTCAATGTACGAAATCAGAACGAGATTATATTCATTATACAATTGATGGTATTACATCGAAACAAACTGATATAGATTCATTTTTTGATTCATCATCAACAAATAAAGACTTATGGGCAAAAATTATTGAAATTACATCTTCATTATGTGCTGGTGTCTCTATTATTGGTTTTTATTGTCGTGCAAAAGCTGATACATTAAAATCAACAAATTTTACATTAAAAGTTCGACGTTTAT